GGGGGGGTCTTAGAGATGTCTCATCCACAGGGTTGCCATGCTGTTCCCAAATAGAGTAGACCAATTGAAATAATGGGACTTATGCAGCTAAATGCAGACCTTCCAAATATCTTGATTTAGCAAAGACAGTCCCAATGAATTGCTACCTTCCCACTTTGTCAGTTGCTTTTAAAATGTCCCAGTTCTCACTCCTCTTCCACTTTCCTCCTTTGTCCTCAGATTATGTCAAGTGCTACAAATTATGTTCTAACTGCAAAAGTAGTTTATGTTCAATAATTGGGGAGGGGATCTTGCCCTTCCCAGTGGGCTCAGACAAAAGCAAACTGTTGCAACCTTTCCTTTCTTGTCTGTTCTCTCTCACTGATCATTTTTGCCATCTTGACCACACCTTGATGTTGCTGAGCCACATTTGTTCTAATTTTCATCTGTGATACGTTAGAGGGTATGTAAGTATAGTGTATTTTGTTGTTGTTGTGTGCCTTATAGTCCTTTCCAACTGATTATGACACTAAAGCAAACCTATCACAGGGTTTTCTTGGCAAGATTTATTCCAAGCAAGTTTGCTTTACCTTCCTCTGAGTCTGAGGGAGTGAGACTTGCCCATGGCCGCTCAGAGTTTTCCATGGGGAAATCGGGATTTGAACCCGGGTCTCCCAGAGTCCTAGGCTGCATCCGCACTGCAGAAATAATGCAGTTGGACACTGCTTTAACTGCCATGGCTCAATATGATGGTATTCTGGGGTTTGTAGTTTTATGAGCCTTCTCTGTTTAGAGAGCTCTGGTGCCACCCCAAACTACAAATCCCAGGATCTTATAGCATTGAGCCATGGCTGCTAAAGTGATGCCAAACTGCATTATTTTTGCAGTGCAGATGAGCCCCCAAGTTCAGTATTTTAGCCTCAACACCTCCAACACTCAAACCACAACAGCACACTGGATCCGGCCTTTCTCTATATTTGTTTTTAAGTTTCCACACTGACTTAATGTTATTTATTTATGAAAAGGTTTCAATGCTGTCCTCAATCTAAAGCTCTCAGGGCAGCAGCTGGTGGAACAAAAATCAGCTCACCCACAGGAAACAATGTCAACAATCACAACAAATGTTAACAGGCCAGAAACATTTTAAACAATTTAACAAGTCAAAAGAAACATTGCAACAGATGTTAAAAGTACTTTAAAACAATGTCAAACCATGAGCATGTGAGGATTTTGCATAAAAGCAATAAGGGCCCAAGGGCTTTCGGTAAGAAATCCTTCGTTCACTTGGCCTTGGAAGGACCACAAGGATGCCCAAACCCTGGTCCTCCACCTTGGCCAATGGGTCTAGGATTCTGGGAGCAGAAATCCAAAACATCTGGAAGGCCAGACTTTAAAGGGTACCAATAATAGACCTCCTTTGGCTCAGGGGTTCCCAAACTGTGGTCCTCCAGAAGCCCCAGCCACCTTGACCAACTGCCAGGAATTCTGGGAGCTGAAGTCCAAAACAACTGGAGGACCAAGGTTTGGGAACCACAGTTTGGATCATCCCATAGAAAAAAAGGGAGGGCAGAGGAAAGGTTACAGATAGATGCCTTTTGCTGACCGAAAGCACAAGTGTTTGGCGTGTTGTAAATATTTTTGTAATAAGATAAAGCCCCTTTTTGTTTTCTACAGTTATTGTGTGCCTTCAAGTCATGGCTGACTTATGGCGACCCTAAGGCAACCCTACAATGGGGTTTTCTTGGCAAGTTTCTTCAGAGCAGGTTTGCCATTGCCTTCTTCTGGGGCTGAGAGAGTGTGACTTGCCCAAGGTCACCCAGTGGCCTTGCATGGCCAAGGTGGGAATCAAACTCAGCTCTCCAGAGTCATAGTCCAACACTCAATCCACGACACCATACTGGCTGTCACATCCTGCATTATTTTATATATGACCACTATTTTAAAGTGGTCACTTATTTGTTTCCTTTTAAAACCCTTGTTTTAGCTGTGCAGTATTTTGTTTCGGTCTGTGCACCGAGCTGCCTTGGGGTCCCGTTCTTGGCAGAAAGGCAGGATATAAAATTAAAAATATATATACATTCCTTTGGACCTACAGGCTGGACAACCCTATTCTTGAAGCAGAGGGGAGTTATTTGGGGAGGGCAAAGGGGGTCCCCCAGGCCTCCTTGCAGCCTAGAAATCTCCTTGAGCTGCTGGGATTTCTCCATCTCCCTCCCAGACTCAAGAAGGCTCCTGTCAAAGCAAGTGGTATTGAAGATATTTATGGGCCTCTTTTTCTGATAACTGTTTCACTCCCCTCTCTGGTTTGAATTGCTGGCTTATTTATTTTGCTTAACAATTATTGATTTTGCTTAACAATGCCGCCAGCCTCAAGGCCACTCTGCAGCCCAGGTCTCCATTATTTGGCTCCTTGGCACTCCCAATCCTTTTGGGGGCTGAGAAGACCCTCTTTGCTTTCTTCCAGGCTTAGAGACAAAGCCAATATTTTGTTTGTCTTCCTTGCAAAAGGCTTAAGGCTGATGTGCTCCCTTCTGTTCCCACTTGGCCAGTAATGGTCCCATTGGGCTGGGCATTGATATTAAAAGCAAAACCCCCAAAAGGCCTTTTAGAGGGTGATTTCCTGCAGGATCACCCATGGCAAAAGGGAGATTTAAATATGTAAGGATTACTGGAACAATCTTTCCGCATTTTAATGGGCAACATCCAGGCCAATGCTCCAGTCTCTCCCTTGCAAGGTGGACCAAAACTTCCAGATTCATCATTCCTTGCAGTCATCTATTTTAGCTCATTTTTTTAGTTTAGTTTCACTTATTTCATTTATATCAATGGTGTAGCAAGAAGGGAGACAAACTAGGCCATAACCCCCCTAAAACTTACAGCAAACAAACCAGAATGTTTGCTTCAGCACCCAAATTTCTAGGGCCCGTGTGTGTTAATTTCCTAAATCTAATGTGAATTTCCTCAATTTTCTTTTAAAGCTGACCAAGTTGGTGGCCAGCATTGTATTCTGTGGCAAGGAATTACATTGTCTGCCCTGTATGCAGAAGTCCTTTCTAACCAAATAATGGGCAGCTTGAGCCTTGGACTATGACCCTGGAGACCAGGGTTCGAATCTCCACATGGCCATGGAACCCCCCTGAGTGACCTTGGGTCAGTCACACACTCTCCATCTCAGAAAACCCCATGAAAGGGTCATTTTAGGTTCACCATGAGTCAGAAATGACTTGAAGGAATACAGCAACAATCACCATCCAATATTTCTAGCCTTACAGCAGCGTAAAACCTCAGGGTACAATAACATCCAAAATCCACAAAACAGTTTTATGGCCAACACAGCTACCCCTGGATATGTTTAAAACTTCTGCTGAACATTTAGGAATACAGTTTAGGCAAGGAAAGGGTCAGGCCCAGTGATCCCAA